ATTTGAAACATCAAACCAGGCACCCTATATGCACCAAAAAAACAAGTACATTTTGTCCCCCTTGTAGAAGGCATTTGTTAGAAGTAAAACACAAAAGGAGCGATAACGAAGGTCATAGCACGAGTTGGTTAAAAGTACAGAACATAAGAGGGCATCTTTTACACACTTCCACACAATATTATTTGAAATCCAAGTGTGACAATGTGACTCCTTTGAAAGCAAAATCGTTGCGGCGTGTTGAGGAACAGCCCAAGTTATAGCATTATTACAGTATTACATGTATTACACATGGATCCACGTGCACTCGAACTCGAGGGACCCTCGCCAGTCCCACTCGTTGTCATTGTGGGTGTGGGAATGAGCAGTGTGCACGTCCGGTGACGGACACTCATCGTGCTCATGCGCGAAGAGGCCTATCTTCCTAAACCACCCCCCTTTACGCCTATTGACTTGTTGGTGACAGACCGCCAGACATGCCTTGCAGTTTCGGCGTACGCATGGGGGAACCTGCTTTGGATAATACCCGAGCAGAATGTGGAGCGAGGTGTTCGCGGCGAGGGTCGCCTTGACCTCGGCCTTGTGTATCCAGGGGTGGGGGCACCACGACAAGCCCCTAAACTCCAGCCTCCTCAAGGCCGGGGCCGTGGCAGGGGTGATGCTCAGGAGCAGCTCTTCGGCGTAGGGCTTAAAATCAGAAAAGTCCAGGTGGCGCAGGGCGGGCAGCGCGGGCAGCGCGCGGACCGGCCGGCGCAAGGATAGTCGCTCGAGGTGTGACCGCCCGGACGAGGCCAGGGCACCGACCAGCACAGCGATGTCGTCGTCCGCACCGCATGGCAGGTAGACGCGCCGAAGTTGGTTGGCTCGCCGAAAGAACTCCGCAACCGCCTCGACTTTGACGTTCGCGTTCGCGTACCCTACACGAACACGAATGCAGATGTCTGTGAGCGTCCTGCACGCCGCCACGGCCTCCAGGTCTCCAATCGAGTCGTTGCACCGCAGTCTTTGGAGTCTCGGCAGGGCAGCCAACAGGGCCGCCGTCGCCGTCTCCTTGACGTCGAAATCCGAGGAGAACTTCGAGGCGAAGTCGACCTTCTCCAGCGTAGCCGCGTGCACAGTAAGTATGGTGTGCACAAAGGATTGCGAATTCTCGTCGACCACACACCGGAAGTTCTTGAGCGACGCCCTGGGTGGCCGTTGTAGAACGGGGTGTGAGGTTTTTGGCAGTTTGCCAAAGACTTCGAGCGACTCCAGGGTGGAACACGATACAACCGTCCTCAGCAGCTCGGCGTTTGTAGTCTCAGTCTTCCATACGACGTCCGGACATTGAAGCTCAAGCCTCCTGAGGCGGCCATAGGACTCCTGGTTGCGCACGGCCGTGGCGTACTCCGCAGCGTTAAAGAGCTCTTCCTCGTCCTCGTTGGCCCAAAGTATCAAACCTGCCGCGGCGCACCTGGTCGTGGACGCCGCAGTCAGAACTTCGCCCAACACGGTCAGCGTGTCGAGGCACGGGGCCAGGCGCAGCACCGCCCCCGCGCGGGGGTGGTTGTCTTTGAGGGATCGGTGGCGCCAGACGTCCCAGTGCAGGGCCAGGCCGCAGAGCCTCTTGCACACGAGGCGGCAGGCGAGGACGTCGTCCACGGACACGTACTGCAGCACCATCACGAGCACGTCGTCCGGGAGCTGCTCCAGGGTCAGCACAGACGTCTCCACAGGATCCATGATAGCAGAACGTAAACTGCGGCCTAGAAACACGGAGGGACCTTACGTTAAACTTTACCACACGAAACACTTTTTGCTCCTGTAAGTACGGCGGACTTGGCCTACCTTGGCGGTTGAAGTAAGCTGGGTGGATGGGCAGACGCTTGCTTGACCTGGAGCACCCGGAGCTGATGACCTGACTAGCACCAAAGGCACACTGCGACTGCGCTCCTCAATCCTCAACGAGCTGGGCTGGGGCCTGGGACAGTCCCAGTGGAACTGTACCGAGTAGTACCGAACCAAGTGCACGGTTTCCTTCGGCCAGCACGAAGGCGGTGTGCTCTTCCTCTACGTGGGTCGGCGCACGAGTGAGTGATAACCGGATCCTGTTGTTCGCCGGTTCGGCCCTCTCGGCAGGCTGAGGGAAACCCGTCCCGTGTTACGTCCGTGCCTCGGAGCCCCGGCCGGGTACTTGCAGCGCGCGCTGCGGTGGCTACCTGCCTGCCTCTGAGGGCGACCGAGGGGCGTCCCCGGCCCGCAGCGGTTTATTCCAAACAAGCACGGTGTTTATACCGGGTTGTTCGGAGAAAACGCAGGAGCGGGCGGGTCTGCTTG